GCTATGTTGTGTTTGACAAAGGGGCCAAATCCCTTCACTGGAGGAAAGACAGCCTCTATAACAAATGGTGCTGAGAAAACTGGCTGTCCATATGCCAAAGGTTGAACCTAGACCCATGTCTTTTATCATGCACTAAACTAAAATAAAAATGGATCAAAGACCTAAATATGAGAACAGAAACAGTAAATCTGCTGGAAGACAAAATAGGTAAAACTCTTGAAGACATAGGTGTAGGCAAATACTTTCTGAACACACCCCAGTTGCACAAGAAATAATACTGAGAATCAACAAGTGAGATCACATCAAATTAAAAAGCTTCTGCACAGCAAAGGAAACCACTAGCAGAGTGAAGAGACAGCCTATAGAATGGGGAAAATTGCTGCAGCTGTTCCTGAGACAAAGGATAATACCTAGAATATATAAAGAACTCAAAAAAATTAGACCCCCTGCAAATTTAAAGACCCAATAAAAAAAATGGGCACTTGAAGTAGACAGACACTTCTCAGATGAAGAAACACAAATGACCAATAAATAAATGAAAAAACATTCAACATCTGGTCGTTTGAGAGACGCAAATTAAAACAACACTGAGAGTCCCTCTCCAAAAAGAATGGCTGTTATCAAGAAATCGGCCAATACAAATGCTGGCGGGGCTGTGGGGAGAAAAGAACCCTTCTCTACTGTTGGGTGGGAGTGCAGACTGGTGCAACCACTGTGGAAATCAGTGTGGAGATTCCTCAAAAAACTAAAAGTAGAAATTCCATTGACCCAGCTATTTCCCTTCTGGGAATCTTCCCAAAAGAGTGAAGTTATCATATTAAAGTGATACATGCAGATCCATGTTTATAAAAGCATAATTAATAATAGCTAAATCTTAGAAACAGCCTATATATCCATCAACAGATAAATAGATTAAAAATGTGGTATTCGTACACAATGGAGTACTACTCTGCCACAAAGAAGGATAAACTTGAGTCATTTGTAGGAAAATGGTGTTGACAATGTCTCTAAAAGTGTTCCTTGACAGTACAATTGTCTTATGTGTGTTACACATTCTTTGTCCTATTAGTCTGGTTTTCAAACTGTATGTCTGATAATTAACTTTATCAGGTCTTATAAATAAGTCAATCCGATGCTGGAAAAATAAAAAAGAGGTGGAGGGAGGTGCGAAAAAGGCAATTGAAAAGTGCTATGTGCATGTACCAACCCCTACAGTGACTATGATCATTAAGTACTGCAAACATGTATTAATAAGAGTATAAATAAATAAATACATAAAACATCAACTTAAAAAGCCAGCATCTGATGAAACTGCCCACGGATGGTTCGGGAAGTCTGGCTTCTGGCCATGGTCCTTTTGTAGAAGCAGAACACCCTCAGGGTCTCACAAGCTCTCAGATTCCAGTTCCTGTGCCCAAAGCAGGCCCCTGCTGGGCTCAGACACCAAAGCGCAGAGAAGCAGGGCGTGTGAGGCCACGGCGCTCTGATGAAGGCGATTTAGCCACAACTCGACTGCTGCACACCTAAGGCCTGGTGGGGAGCTGTGGCGCACAGCCAATGAGCCGGGTTAACAGCCTTGCACCCCGCCTGGACCTGGACGCTGCCAGTCTCCTCCCTGCGTCATCCAGCCCTACTTGCACGTCTGCAGCTCTCTGGGCACTGAAGGAGCCCCGCTTGCTCACGCATGATGGTAGGTGAGGTGGGGGCTCTGCGCTCGCTTCCCACTGTGACGATGCAGCGCCTTACCCTGTCCTTCAAGGTGTGGAAAACACACCGGCCACAGCATCTCCCTGCATCAGCCTCCAAGATGCTCACGTGACAGGCCACGTTCTGGCCTCATCCATGTTTCTGACACGGGAAGCCCTCTCCCTCATCTGTCCCATTCCAAGAGACCAAGCCCTCTGTGCTGCCTCATAGGGATGGGGTCCCAGGCCCTGCATCTGCCTGCTGGGCGGCATCCAGGTGAGTGTGGGCTGCACAGGTCCCCGCCCTAGGAGAGGCCTGGCTGAGGAGGGACCTGGCTGAGGGCTGTGCACCCGGACTGGAGCAACCTCCAGCCCCCCATTTAACAGGTGAGGAGACAGGCTGGGGGCTCAACCAGACCAGTGAGGTCCAGCAGACATGGGGCCTACCACACCCACCATCCCAGACCTGGGCTACGTGTTTGTTTTGTGAACTACCTAGGGAGGATGGTGACCCCTGCTTAATTCTCGGAAAGGAAGGAAAATTCAGTCCAAACACTTTTTACTCAGCAGCCAGCAGACTCTGAGCTGCACACCCTGGCAGATAGAGCAGGCTCTGCCTTGCAAAACTGCAGCTTCATCCTGTGGCAGAAGAAATCAGGAAACTAAATAAAAGTCCCTATGGACTAGACAGGGATACCAGATGCTCACTTCCCTCCCCAGACCCTGAAATACACAGCAGTCCCAGGCTGTCCACAGGGGAGCTGTTCCAGGGCCTCCTAGACACCAAGTCCACAGACGCACAGGCCCCTGTATAAAGTCTGCAGCAACTTGCACACATTCTTCTGGGCCCTTTAAATCCTGTCGGGTCACTCACAATACCGAATGCTATGTAAAAGCTGTTACCTGGTGCTTAGGCAACAATCACCAAAAGGAGGCCTGCTCATGTTCAGTACAGATACAGTTTTCCCAAATATTTTCAATCCACAGTGGACTGACCGAGGGTGCAGAGGCCACAGTACGAAGGCCCAGCTGGCCCTGCTCCTCCAGGAAGCCTGCCCCGTCTGCTGTCCACTGCGCCATGGCACACGTCCTGCGCACACACAGTCACCCAGTGCTCCGGGCATGCGTCAGAGACTAGAAACATCCCCACCACCAGGTCTTCTTGTCTCTCTTTAACTGCACACACTTCACAGGCTGCCTGGTTTCCTGTATTCTGCCCATCTCTCCTCCCAGGGGCATGTTGGTAAAGTCTAAAATCAACATTCCAAAGAGGGAAAGTCCCGATCTACAGAATCTGTTGATTTCTATGCTATCAAAAACCCCACCATGGCCAATTTCAAGACACCAACATGATGTCCTTAGACCCTGGAAAGTCACATGCAGTAGAGCAGTGTTTCCACCACAGAGATAAAAACAGATGAAAACAGCCTCAAGAGCATAGATAACAGTCAAATAATCAGGAATAGCTTTGCAAAGTTAAGAAATAACTATTTTAATATGTTTTTAAATTATGTTTATATAGTTTAATTTTAATACTAGCCACATTTAACTGTTGGCTGGCTCTGCATGCTGGCTTCAGAGACTGCTACGTATCTGTCTTCCTTCCTGGTTCCCTATGGCCTCCTCAGCTCTGGACTCTGTCATTCACCCAGATTATTCTAACAGCCTGCTAACCTGTCCCTCAGCTTCTGGTCCTCCTACCCCAACCATCTGCTTGTATCTTTCAAAATACAGCTCCTACGCTCTCCTGCTCAAAAATAGTAACAGATCTCCAGGGGCCCCAAATGAAGCATGAATTCTTTTTTCAAATAACCAAGACCCTGTGGAATACATAAGTTCCCCAAGCTTTCCTGTCTAGCTTTATTTCAAGTAGTGTTTGTACCGCTCCCACGATACTGCAGAGGTCAGTGGGCTGGCTCTGAAGTTTGCCTCGGCCACTCATGAGCTGGGTGACGTGGAGCAAAGTTACTTCACCTCTCTGCCCATCTCTTTCCCCTCTGAAAAATGGAGAACCGTTAGAGGGGTTGGGAGAAAGAAGTGCTAGGATGGTGACCAGCTCAACTTAGGCACTCAGTGCCTGCAGTGTGGTCAGCTTCTATTTATGAGCTCATCCTATGTGTAGACACTGTTTTTATCTCATTAACCCACTGTGATCCCCATTTACTGGATTACTGAAGCCGTTGGCTCCCACCTCTGTTAGGTGCAGGTGCCCATCTCTTACGTGGTGCTGTGCTCTGTACTGTCTGTCTCACTACCATTCTGTGTGAGGACCCAAACTTTTACAAACCTAATTCTGCTCCTGTACTCTGCCTCACAAAAATGCACCCATCCACTCAATAATAAAAAAAGTTGACCCAATTTAAAAGTGGGCAAAGAATAGAGTAGATATTTGTGGTCCAAAAGTCATACAAATGTCCAGGAAGCACATGACAAGATGCCCAACCAGGTTGGTCATCAGCGAAATGCAAGCCAGCCCCCAGGAAGGAGTACGTCACACCCTCCAGAACGTCTGTCATCAAAGTGACAGATAATGGTGATACAGAAAATCGAAGACCTTGTTTCTTGCCAGCGGGAAAGTAACAAGGTGCAGCCACTTCCAAACTCGGCCTGGCAGTTCTTCAGAAAGCTAAACGGAGAAGACGGGTGGCTCCGGGGAAATGAAGCCCACGTCCACACAGAAACGTGTGCTGCACCATTACTGGTAGCCAGCACCAGAGAACCCACGCGGCCATCGGCACATGAATGGATATGAAGACCTGGCATATCTACACGGAATTTTTCATCATGAAAAGAAATAAAGTACTGATAGCTTCTACGACGTGGGGGAACCGTGAAAGCACTGTGTGAAGCGGAAGGCACACGCGACAGTCCCGAGGCCGGAGGGGCGGATGGAAAGTAGGTAAGGGGCGAGGGGGGAATGGAGGAGCCGGCTCAGCCGTTCGGCTTCTGTCTGGGTGACAGAAGCTCTAGGCTTCGTTGTGGGGACGATCCCTCACGTCTGCGAATGTGCTAAGAACCACTGCGCTGTGTGCTTTAACGGGCAATTTCTTACGGAATTCGCAGTGCGTCTCAATACAAATGTTTTTTCAATAAAACCTTGAAAGCCATCAGCCCTTTCATCAAAGCCCTCTGCACCCTAGGCTCTCTCCCCGGACCACACTATTCCCTGGCGTGGCTTCTCCCCTCGCCACACTTCACTCGCTGTCCTAGTTACTGTGCACAGCACTTCTTAGCATCAGCATCACCTGAGATGGCCCCAGGCGTTTCAGTGCGAAATGAAGCCGACCCACGCCCTTCTGTACGACACCCACTCACGCGTGTTCCTGAGGCGGAGGCGGGCACCCCAGTCGGTCCACTCTGGACGGCTCTTCAGCCCGAAGGCTGCGGGTGCGCTCGAAGTCTCTTTTCCCCCAGGTGAAGTGAGGCCGAAGACACAGCGCAGCCCGCGTGGCCCCTGCAGCCAGCGTCCCGACGCCTCCAGACGCCTCCCGCGCTGCCGCTGACACTGAGGTGCGACGCGGTGACGTCACCCCTGGAGCA